CCCAGAACCCATGTCAAACATGACAGAGTACCCAGAACACACGTCAAATATGACGCAGTACCCAGAACACATGTCAAATATGATGCAGTACCCAGAACACATGTCAAATATGATGCAGTACCCAGAACACATGTCAAATATGTCGCAGTACCCAGAACACATGTCAAATATGGCGCTGTACCCAGAACATGTGTCAAATATGACGCTGTACCAAGAACACATGTGAAATATGACGCAGTACCCAGAACACGTGTCAAATATGACACAATAACCCAGAACACATGTCAAATATGATGCAGTACCCAGAAAACATGTCAAATATGATGCAGTACCCAGAACACATGTCAAATATGACGCAGTACCCAGAACACATGTCAAATATGACGCAGTACCCAGAACACATGTCAAATATGACGCAGTACCCAGAAAACATGTCAAATATGACGCAGTACCCAGAACACATGTCAAATATGACGCAGTACCCAGAACACATGTCAAATATGACACAGTACCCAGAACACATGTCAAACATGACACAGTACTCAGAAACCAGAAAAGCAATTATAAGCATTAAACAAAATGTTGAAATTTTGTTTTTGTTTTTTCAGTTTTGTGGGAGGAAATGGCAAGAAAAATGCATGGAGAGTGAGTAAGTGCACAACACAAGAAACGATATGACAATCCAGAACTAGAAGGTTCAGTTCATTCACTGCTTATATTTTGAAGTTTTTGTTGTTGTTTTTTCTCAAAATATTGTTGTAAACAATTACATTTGTTTTTCTCCTCTACCAAACATTTTTTTTTTTAACAATTTACATAATATATATGTTTTGTCTCTACTACCGGTACACGTAGTTGAGTACATCAAAGCAAAAGATTCTGCCAACCAAGGAATACATGGGACATCCCAAGAGAATACGAGTTCCCACTCACACTACATTTGATCTAGACATGGTACATTTACTTTTATAGCTCATTTCAACTTTCGATCTAACTTTATGGGAGCTGAAAATGAACAGTAGAGAGGGTTAGTTCAGTTGGTAACTTTTCACACCTCATTATGTACTATTGTGAACTCATGTAATGCAGTAAACATGACAATTAAACACTTAGCCGTAGAATAAGGAGCTGCCAGAGAAAGAAATGAGTTATTACATAGATTTTGTTCTCATAGTAAAATAAACTACTCGTATACACTGTGAAAGTCTCTGGATCATTGGTATTATATCGGTAACTATCGTATTTGCTCCATTAGCAGTGCATACACTTACGTAATTGGAGATGTTCTAAGGTAAAAATAAGTAACATTTTAATGATTTTGTATACAACAAATGTGATTTGGGATTTATATGCTTTTCTATTGGAGATGTGTGTACTAGCAATTTAACAAATACAGTAGGTATGTTAAATCTGAGCCTCATAAGTGCAACTTATTTGGTCAGTGGCATCACTATCATTTTCAGTGACATCACCAACTTGCTCAGTGACATCACGAACTTGCTCATCAGTGACATCACGAACTTGCTCATCAGTGACATCACGAATTTGCTCATCAGTGACATCACGAACTCGCTCATCAGTGACATCACGAACTCGCTCATCAGTGACATCACAAACTTGCTCATCAGTGACATCACAAACTTGCTCATCAGTGACATCACAAACTTGCTCAGTGACATCACAAACTTGCTCAGTGACTTTACCAACTCGCTCAGTGACATCACAAACTTGCTCAGTGACTTTACCAACTTGCTCAGTGACATCACAAACTTGCTCAGTGACTTTACCAACTCGCTCAGTGACATCACAAACTTGCTCAGTGACTTTACCAACTCGCTCAGTGACATCACAAACTTGCTCAGTGACTTTACCAACTCGCTCAGTGACATCACAAACTTGCTCAGTGACTTTACCAACTCGCTCAGTGACATCACAAACTTGCTCAGTGACATCATGAACTTACTCAGTGACATCATGAACTTGCTCAGTGACATCATGAACTTGCTCAGTGACATCATGAACTTGCTCAGTCACATCATGAACTTGCTCCGTGAAATCACCATTATGGCCACAACACTTTCGGTCGCAACTATTTATAATATTTACTAGTAAATCTATGTCACATAATTCATATACTAATAAATTATTGTTCACATGTTACAGGTTATAAGTAAATAAATATACCGTAAATATGCTGTGTTAGTAATGTATGAGTTATAAGGAAATAAATAGAAAAAAACCATGCATTTACCATAAAGGACAGTGTGCCATTATTACTGCCTCAGCCATTTTCACTGTGCCATTACCTGTGTTATTTCCTGTGTAATTTATATCCACTCGATATGCCATTTTTACTGTGCACCAGAGCAAACATGATATACTGTGGAATACTTTATTTTCGCTGGAATTAATTTTCGCTGAAAAGGCTTTTTGGGCGTTTTGCTTGGAATTTATTTTCACTGATTTTTGATGAGTTTAATGTTAAATATAGGAAAAAAAAGTATATTCGCTGGATTTTATTTTCACGGAATCATCCCTTCAGCGAAAATAGCAAACATAAATTCATAGCGAAAATAAAGTATTCTACAGTATTTAATTTAAATATGGTCCATGATTTGAATGACTAGAAAAAAATTGGCCTCTGGTAATAGCCCCAATGTTCTAATCATAAAGTCAGAGAATCAGGCAAATGACAAAATATTGTAGCACTATAGCAGTGAAGATTTCACTTGGATCCTAAAATCAGACTGTCATATGCAGTGATTTGAAAGTTACATTCCCACTTTATATTACCGATATAAGCAGAAAATGCTCTGATCATTCAGATCACCATGGGGAATGATATTTACTGGTAATCAGTTACTTCGGCTACAATACATGAAATATATAGCCGGCACCATAGACAATTACAGTATTGTTGGCAACCACCTGAACTTGACAGAAAGAAGGTCACGGTGTCTAATCTCCAAATCAAATAATTTTCATTGCTGTAACCATTCAAGGTTATTTGCAGGTGTACATTTTGACTGTTTGTATGGCTTCCTTTAAGTCTTCTGAATTTGATTTTAGGATTTTACAAAGTGTACAGGGTCAGTGGGAAGCTTTCTGCAGATCATACAAAGTGGAATTACTGTAATTTTAAGTTGGGATAAGAAATTAACAGTTAATAGTATTCACAGATAAACAGATTGGAAATTAGGTGTCTAATGTTAGCATGGAATAATATATATTTAGACCTTATTGAGATCAGCAGCAACAATGTTGCTGCAAATAACCCCCATGAGAACTTGTAAGAAAACACATGTATACATATATTGCATTGATCAGAGGATTTATATCAGATAATACATTGACTTGTGACATATATGTTATGTATATGTCAATACCAGGGCACACACAAGTTCAGACAAAGGAGACTTCAAATAAAAGATTCATGAATAGTCACAAAGCTCTATGCATGATTAGAAATAAAGTAAAAACCAAAACCATGTCTAGAACCAGTAGGACCGTGTACACAATCCAAACGTCTCACCTTAAACAGGAAACAAGATTACTGAACACCCACATACATACATACAGGAAGGCATCACACCCTGGTGCCAATGTCAGAGTTAATTGAGTGGTGTAATTGAAAGAATAACTCAAGCCAAGTTGAGAACAAAGAATCACACCAAGGTGTCAATACACAGCCTCCTATTGTTGACAAGCACTTGCAATTCTATTGTCTGAGTCAGCTGACTTCATAAATAAACAAATATACACCTGTCTTTAATTGGAGTGGAGTACCAATACTGTAAATATACTTTAGCTGGAATTCATTTTCAATGAAAAGACATTTTTGGTGTTTTTGTATGGAGTTTAACTTCACTAATTTTGACAAGATGTAAAATATAGGAAAAAAACATTCACTGGATTTTATTTTCACTGAGAAAATAAAGTATTCTGCAGTAGATAGTCAGGGGCTGGTGGGTTAGTGAAGTTTATGTTTAACTATTAGAAAAACAAAAGGCCATAGCTAAAAAAAAAAATGACAACAGAAACGCTGCACTGGTTAACAGATGGCTCAAGTTCAAAAGTTCAATAGAGGTCATTAACACCACAACACCATTAAAAACAGTGACTAAAAATATTCATCATGAATTTGACAATTTTCCCAGGCTCTTAGTTCTTGTATAAAATTGTATTCCAGACTATTATTTTGGATAACAGTCAATGATGACATAAAGTAAACTTGAGGATAATTGGTAATTTTGAAAGCATATATCTCTAATAGAAGTGAGGATAGTACTTGCTCTATTACTAGTAGTACCACACACACGTAAATTACAGAAGTGGTTCTGTGAGGAAAATAAGTTATGCAATTTAATATTTGCATTTATTATATGGTAGATAATTTGTATTACTGTTATACCATCGTCCACTATCAGTTTCATAGCTGTTCAGATATGTGGATTCACTATGTTGCAAAATATGTACCTTGAAATTTCAATCTGCTGTGATATTACAAGTTTAATTATCACTGTTAGGAATACTTACAATTTGATGACTTTGTGGGATTCATAGTCGGACAAGATTTTGTGAAAGTTATTGTAAATTCTTATTTTTTAATACAGGCATACTCGTAACAAATGTGAAATCGACGCCGACTCAAAATTTTACATTTTCTTTGATTCACAGATCTATATCGGTTTATAGTATATTGCCAAATTTTAGAATTTCAAAAACACACATTTTTAGCGAATTGTGAGAAAGAATAATCCTAGGGTATCAGTTAAGATTAGACAGGGAGTAACATATCTTTCTGAATAAAAACAAAACAGGTACTTTCTTGATATCTTATTGTTGCAAGCAATCTCTCAAAATATGATATACTGAATATTTGTATTACGATTTCCAGTACACATGTATGTCAATTGACAAAATACTAATACTAAT